GTCACGGTCATTCCGACGGCCTCGGCAAACCGCTATCCTTGACAGATATTGCCCGGGCAGCTCCCGTACAAAAACAGAGGAAGGAAGGGAAGGAAAGCAGAGGAGACGAATGGCGGCCATACATGCCACGGGCGAGAGCGAGCGCCGCGAGTTGGAAGTAGAATGAGCCTGACGCGCCTGATCGAGAGCGCAAGCTAACCTCACTGGCAGAGGTCGGAGACGCCAGAGTCCAGACCACAGTGGGCTGGCTAATCGCAAAATGCAACACTACAATACCCATTGGATTCTGTCTGAAACTGTTGGCAGAACTACAAGACGGTCCCCAATGGACGGGAACTGGCAAGGAAAAGAGTTGCACACCGATGGCAACGAAGATCTGGCGGATGAAGGCAATAGAAGGACTGCCGTAAGACAGGCAAGAGCCCGCCAAACGGCTGCAGGGTGTCCACACGGCTGTGAAGTGTGGAGGCGGTAAGCCAAGTAAGGCATCGCGGGCTGGCAATGGCTCCCTGGAGAGAGCGGCCGACAAGACTGGGCTGTACGTCAGTGGCCAAAGCCCGCGTGCAGCCGGCGCAAGCGCCAATCCTTCACACAGGAGCAGCCACCCCAGCGCACTCCGTGCCACGACCCCAGGAGAGGAGGAAGAGGCGAGAGGGACAAGGGAGGGGGGGGGGGTCCACGCCCACGCTGGGCGATCGGAAGTAGGCACGCCACGATGCGGAAAAAGACCCTCTCCACGCCCCTTGCTTGCAGAGGCCGCAGCCTCGAACGCCACCCTCGACCGCCCCCCACGGCGAGAGGGGGGGGAAGGGGAAGGGAGGCGAGAGAAGCAGGAAGGGAGAGAGGACGGGAGGGGGGAGGGGAAAGGGGCGGTCCCCTGCCCCCCCAGGGCGTGAGACTCCCAAGGGGACGCGGTGCGTCGCCCTCGCCAGGCTTGTGCGGCGGGCCTCCAGGCGGATCCATGGATCAGTTGTGGCGGGGCGGCAGGGTCGCATTGCTTGAGGCGGGCGCAATCGGACTGAATTCTCCGCAGGAGACTTTGGGGAGTCCCGCAGCCACGCCGCGGCCGGGGAGGGGTTCGCGCACGCGCGGTCCACAAACACTTGGCAGGGCCGGCGCTGCAGTGCGCGCAGCTCGACTGGGAGTAGGGCAGCGCCATGAATACCGGGTTCCACGACTTCCAGGAAGTCTCGTGGAGCTCAGGCTGATACTCACAGGTTTTGGGCCAGTGTCTCCGGAAGCGAGCACACCGCTACACGTCCCAGCGTAGCACAGCACAGTTAGGCTGCGTGTGTGCGTGTGTGTGTGTGTGCGGCCGCACGGCACAGCACAGCACAGCAAAGCACAGCAAATCACAACACATCACAGCATAACACAGCACAGCACACACGGCACAGCACATCACGCGCAATGTGTGCGCGTGTGTGTGTTTGTGTCTATGTTTATGTGTCTGTGTCTGTGTCTCTGTGTCTGCTTTTGTCTGTGTCTGTGTGTCTGTGTGTCTGTATGTGTCTGTCTCTCTGTCAGTGTGCGTGTCTTCTGTGTGTGAGTGTGTGTGTGTGTGTCCGTTTGTCTGTGTGTCTGTGTGTTTGTGTGTATATGTATATTTGTGTACCTATGTGTGTATGCCTGTGCGTGTCTGTGTGAGTGTGGGCCTGTGCCTGTGTGGTTGTGTGTCTGCCTGCGTCTGAGTGTGTGAGTGTGGGTCTGTGTCTGTGTCTCTGTGTCTGTGGGTCTGTATGTCTGTGTGTCTGCGTATGCCTGTGTGTATTTGTTTGTGTGTGTCTGTGCGTGTGTGTCTGTGTGTGTCTGTTCGTCTGTGTGTGTCTGTCTCTGCTGTGTCTGTGTCTGTGCGTCCGTGTGTGAGTCGGTGTGTGTGTGTGTGTGTGTCCGTGCGTCTGTGTGTGTTTGCGTGCTTGTGCGTCTGTGTGTCACCGTGTCTCACTGTGTGTATGTGTGCCTGTGTGTTTGTGTGTGTCTGTGAGTCTGTGTGCGTGTGTCTGTGTGTCTGAGTGTGTCTGTGTGTCTGAGTATGCCTGTGTGTCTGTGTGGGTGTCTGTGTCCTCAGATGGCCCCAAGACCGCCCAAAAGACACCCAAGACGGCCCAAGAGAACCCCAAGAGACCCCCAGGAGGCCGAAAAGAGGCCCTCAAAAGGCCCCCAAGAGGTATGCGGCCTCAACATTGCTTCCAATCGAGCGGGCGGACGAGAGGCGACCCAAGAGGCACCCAAGACGGCCCCAGAAAGCCCCAAGAGACCCCCAGGAGGTCGAACATAGGCCCCCAAAGGGCCCCCAAGAGGCCCAAGAGCTAAGTGGACTCAACATGGCCTCTCACAGAGGGGGGCGGACGAGAGGCGAGAGGCTGATCGCAGGTCCACACGAAGAGGCAGCGGGTATGGCGGACGTCGCGGCTCACGACATAATAATGGCGCGGAGCGCTCGCCATCGCGACGTCTCCACGCCCGCTGCACAGCGCTTTCCTCGTTGAAGCGCCGTCTTTTGCTTTTTACTTGTATTCCCTCTCCTCTCTTTCACCCCGGCGCCTCCCATCCCATTCTCTTCCCCCATTCTGCCCAGGGGCCTGCTTTTGACGTCCGGACCCCTTCCCTGGGGTAGGCATCCGTCCGGAACGCAGTTCCCGTGGCCCCCAGGTTCCGAACACGGGCCCCAGGGCCGAGAGCAGTGAAACACCGCCGGGCTCATAAAGATCCTATTGTCGGAGGTCTTCCGCTCCTTCTTTGTTTCGTCCGTGCCTCCCATCCCCACCTCGTTTGGCACTCTACCCGGAGGCCTGCTCCTGAAGCCTGGGCTCCTTCCCCGGCGGTAAGGCTGCGCCCCGCACCTATGTTTCATGATCCTGGGGCCCAACAGCGGCCCCAGGGGGCCGAAAACTAAAAAAACAACGGGGTTCACAATGATCCCAGACCCCCACCACGGACGCCGGCCGGCGACCGAGGGGAGCCCCGCCGGGTCGATCCGCTTCTCGCGCGCCTGCAGCTGCAGCCTGGAGCACACATATAGGCGGCGCTGCCGAGCGGCACGCCGTCGGTCCGCCCGCACCTCGGCGGTGCCTTCAGATCCTGGCGACGCACGCGTTTGCTCTGGGCGGTGCCTCCACGACTTCGGCCTCTGGGGGCTGTTCGGGCCGGACGAAAGGGGGGGATTGGGAAAGGGGGGGTTACGAGACTTGTTGTATGCAGCTGGTTTCGGCCTCACCAAGGGGCCCATTCCTCGATACATAGCCGCCTCCGGCGCCTGGAGGCGCCGGGAGAATCAGCTTCGTGAGCTGATTCTCAAACCCCCCCTTTGCTATCCCCCCCTTTCGCCCGACCCGAGCTGTGTCCACCTCAAGGACCGTCAAAAACACACCGCGGACGAAGAAGCGGCCCCAGGAAAAGGGTCTGGACCTCTGGAGGCCCACGCCGCACAAAAACTGCGGCACCGAAGGTCTGGGGTAGGCCGAGCTGGCCGAGAACGAGGGGGCGCTCCTCCTTCTCAGCCTCGTCGCGCTCCTCCTCACTGTCTGCATCCTCTTGTCCCGAGGGCGAACGGGGGAGTCCTGGGGGAAGGCGCACCACCCCTTCCGTCGATCCTCATCCTCGATCTCCTTCCTCTCTTCGATCTTCCTCCCCTTCCAGCCTCCCCCCTCTCGATCCCTCGATCCCTCCGCCTCTCCCTGGACGTGGTGGGGAGCCCACATGCACATCACACGTCCAAATAAAGTTATCAGTGGGCACCCACAGACGAGCAGATAAGATTATCACGGCCAGCCGCTCCGCAGCAGCTATGGTCAGTACCGAGCACGGCGTGACAAACAGCGCATCTCCACACCATCTCGAGCCTACATAGGTGTGCTCCCGCTGCCACCATTTCCACCACCGCGTACTTGTGGTGAGGCCTGCTTGCCTGCATCCATCACCGACCTTCCCTCTGGCGATCACTTCGCCATCCAAATTGTTACCCTCCGCCTTCCTCTCCGGCCACCGCGGAAACGTTCCACTTCAGCGGCCAAAAGGCAGCTGGTCAGCCCTAGCCTCTCCTACAATTCTGGGAACGCTGCGTGCGCAGTGGGTTTCTGCACTAATGGAGTTCTCGACGGCCGCGAGCCGCTCGCGACGGCGCCCCAGACGCTCAAGAGGGCGCCCCGACGGCCCCAAGACGGTTCCGAGACGCTCACGAGACCGCCCCGACGGCCCCAAGACGGCTCCGACCCGCTCAAGAGGCCGCCCCGACGGTCCCAGAGGCCCCCAAGGCAGGACAGGAGGCTCCCAAGACGGCCCTGGAAAACTCCCCACGAGAGCCCCAAGAGGCACAAAACACACATTTGGGGCATTATTGTGCTTCTCGTCTCCGACGCGTCCACGACGGCCGGACCCGGCCCCCAAGATCGGCCCAAGAGGCCCCCGTGAGGGCCCCAAGACGGCCCCAGCACGGTCCAAGAGGCGCCCAAGACGGCCCAAGAGGCACCCGAGCCGCCCAAGACGGCCCAAGACGGCCCCAAGACGGCCCAAGAGGCGCCCAAGACAGCCCCAAGATGGCCCAAGACGGTCCCAAGACGGCCCAAGAGGCGCCCAAGACGGCCCAAGAGGGCCCCAAGAGGTTGCCAGGAAGCCGAAAAGAAGCCCCAAGAGTCCCCCTAACGGCCCCCAAGAGGCCTTAAGTGGCTTCAAAATTGCCTCCAAGAGAGGGGGTGGGGCGGGCGGACGAGAGGCGAGAGGCCTAACGCAGGCCCCAAACAGCCGGCCCCCATGACGACCGAAGTGGCTTCGAACTTGCCTCCGTCAGAGGGGGGCGGACGAGAGGCGAGACGCAGATTGCAGGCCCAGAAGAGCCGCTTTGGACGCTCCGAGGGCCTTGGATGCTCGCCTTCTGGGGAGCGTCATAGAGTTCACAATTGGCGATCGGAGATCGAGCAGAGCCTTTCGGCACCACCTCCGCCCCGACCCCCCAAGCAAGTTCATAGAACTTGTCGTGGACGTAGGCCACGGGTCAGCACTAGTCAGCTACAGCGCTGGGATCAGCGCGTGCGAGAAAGGAGAGCAGTGGCAGCGGGCGCTGGCGCTACTCAGAGAGATGCGGAAAGCGAAGCTGGAACCCAACGTCATGTTTCTTACCGTGCCGGACCCCGTGCGAGTGGGAAGTGTTAGTGCACCAAGTGGGGCCTCGGCGCCTTTTGCAGCCCCGCAGGGCTCTCAGACCTTTCCGAGGCGGCCCCAGCAAGCCCCAGAAGCCTCCAAAGACGTCTCCAGAAGTCCACAAAGGCCCACAGAAGCCCCGACAGGTCCTTCACTTAAGACCGCCCTAGAGGCCGCCGGATGACCATTGAATGGCCGCGGAGGGTCGGCGAGACGCGAGAATTGTCAGAGTTTTTTGGAGCCGTTTCAGGTTATAGTGCTTGCATTCGGGGTTTACTATGTGGGTTCGAGGGACTGGAAGAGTGTTCCCAATTTACGGGTCGTCGCCACCAGGTTTTAGGTTCGTCGTTACAGTGGGCGCTCGTTGGGCTTAGATTCTTTGGTCGAAATCAAGAGGCCACCACCCTCCCCCGCTGGGGTTAACGGACACCCCGAGACATTGCAATTTACATATGGAAATGCTTCGTCGTTCGTTTTCCAAACGAGTTCATACCATCCCAAGCAAGCCTGGTATGGCTCCCCTCCCATCCCCGTCAAATATTTGTATGCGCGCACCTCCGTCTACCGCAAACGATAACGTTTCAATACCCCCTTGCCAAATATGCACAAAGTTCACACGCGCGCGCACATGTCGAAAGCAGACCAAGCACACCAGTTCTGCAGGCACATCAGGGAAACCAAAATGAACAAACAAAACCAAAAACATAATAGTGGTGCCTCTTATCTGCTCGATACCCGCCCTCTTCGTCTTCGATCGTACCTCCTTGGGGGTACATTTCTTAACTGCAACGTGTACTTCGTGCGGCCCCTAAGGCAGGGGAAACGGGACGGATGGAAGGAAGGGACACGGGGGAGGGAGGAGGATGGAGCACGAGAGAGAGCAGCAGGAGGGGGGCTAGGAGCAGAAACCACGTGGCAGAACCAGACGGGCTGATCAGGCGGGACCCTAACGGGCGGGTCGGGAAAGCGGGCACAGGCGGCCAGGTCGAGCAGGCGGGTTGTTGAAGCGAGCGTCTTGCATGAATCGCGAGGAAGTTTCCAGCGATAGCGCGATTCCCCCCCCCTAAAAGAACAAATCGTCAGGAAATCCACAGCGAGAGCGTGATTCCTGAGTGCCGAAGGCGCGGCGTCTGAATAAACGGCGAGGAGGTTCCAGGCGACAGCGCGATACCTGCACAACTTGTGAGGAAGTCCCGAACGAGAGCGCGACTTGGGAACAAAGTGTGAGGAAGTACAGTCGGCCCGGATTAGTAGGTCGACCTTGCCAAATCAAGGGTAGCCTTGTGTCCTGTGTCTCGCGACCCATGCTTCCTACATTCCTGTGGCAAGGTGGCCCTCGGAAGGGTCATGTGTCCTCTCGCGTGTCCTGTGCAATCGAGTCCGACTGTATCAGGCGAAAGCCGCTGTTGTAAACCAGGGCCCATCAGAGCAGTTTGGTGACCCCTCGCTTCCCCTTGTAAAGAACAGGGTGCGATCCCCGGGAGGAGCACCGTGGTTCCAATGGTTACCAGCGGGGGGGGACCAACAGCGATCATTCTTTACACCTGAGAATTCTGGAACAACAAATACAGAAACAAGACAAACAAACAATCAATCAACCAAACTAACACACAAACAAAACAAGTCGGCAGCACCCGTTGGTGCTTCAGGGCAGATCTGGCCATTCCCGCTATCATCATTCAAGCACCTTCGGCATTGAAACATGGACATCATCATCGCCAATGGCGTTACCAGCATCGACGCTGCCACTGGCCTTACCGTCGACATCGTCACCAACGCCACCACCATCGCCACTATCATCATCGTTGCCGCCGCTGTCAACGTCATCATGATACCACGCCCGTCCCAGCCACCGACCCGCATTGAATTGCCCGCGCGCCAGCGCGGCCTTGGTCACGCGCTGGGACGCTCTCACCGGTAAGCGCCATCGCGGCCCCATCGGCTGTGCCAGACCAGCTGGCCGCTCTGCGCGCGAGCATGCGCGCGCCAGCGTTGCCGCAGAGATTCCACAGCCATGGCCAAGCAGTCGTCGCAATTGCCGCCGCATGGGGGTTTTGCAAACCAAGTTGCGGGTGGAAGGGTGGGGTGATTGCGAGAGCAGCGAAGTTGACAGCTCATGAGTTGGCAGAAGCTATGGCTTCAAATATGCACTACAAAACACCGGTTGCACAACATAGCTTGTGCCATACAAAATTTGCACCACACCTGTCGCGCATCAAAGAGTGTTGAGGTCCACGCTGTCTAAATGATGTTTTTATTTAAACAAAAAACATCCAGGGATAACGCCTGTTCCCCCCCCCCGTCCCCCCGTCACGGTAACGCTCCCAAATCATTATCAGAAGGCTTGCCCACGAGAGTTGACGGGAAATGGAAAGCAGAGACGCATATAGTGAAATGGAGCGGCGGTCAAATTGAGGAGGGGGAGGAACGTGTTGAGCCATGTTGGAGGTTATCTTGGAGCATCGGAGGCCTTCTTGGAGCTATGGAGCTTTTGGGGGGCGTCTTGGGGTCCTCTTGGGGTCCTCTTGGGGCTCTTTTGGCGCATCTTGGGGCCCTCTCGGGGCTCTTGGGGGGTCTTGGGATCTTCTTGGGGCTCTTTTTGGAACGTCTTGGGGCCCTCATGGTGTCCTCTTGGAGCTCTCTTGAGGCTCTCTTGAGGCTCTCTTGGGGAGCATTTTGGGAGCCTTGGAGGGCCCCTTGGGGCTGTCGTGGAGGGTGTCGGTGGAAAGAGGGGGGGGTCCTAACGGTTGGTCCCCCCTCCGGGGCAATCAAAGTAGCTTCGTGGGGCGCTCTTGGTGCCTTTTTGGGGCGATCTTGGGCGCTGTTGGGGCCGTCTTGGGGGCCTCTTGGGCCCTTCTTCGAGCTCTCTTGGGCCATCTTGGGGCCATCTGGAGGCCTCAAAGGCGCATCGGATGCGAAAAAGCGAGAAGGTCAAAATCATTGGTTTGTCCCTAGGTTGTTGAAGGATTTTGGCTTCGCGGGGAGGTCCTCAGGGGTCTCCAAAAGCACTTGGATCCGTCTTGAGGCCTTCTTGGAGCCTCTTGGAGGCATGTTGTTAGCTTTATTGAGTCATGTTGGGCTATCTGGAGCGATCTTGGAGGCCATCTTGGGCTCTCTGAGGCCCTCTTGGGGCCATCTTGGGCCAAAAAGTCTCCTCTGACCGCTCGCGGAACCCTCCGTCCAGGTCCAGGGGAGGGGGTAGGGGGAAGGGTCAAGTTACCCCCTCCCCGCCCGCAAGCCGTCTCGCTCACTCCCACCCGCCCTCCCAACACATACGTAGCACCCGAGTCTGGCCCGAGCCTCAGCACATCAGCAGTCGTCTTGGGATGGGCAGCTACCGGGGGGCAATCCGCCGCCGCCGCCGCCGCCGCAGCCGCTGCCGCCACCGCTACCTCCGCTGCCGCCGCCGCCGCCGCCGCCGCCGCCTCAGCCGCCGCCGCCGCTGCCGCCGCCGCTGCCGCCGCCGCCGCCGCCGCCACCGCCGCCGCCGCGCCGCCGCCCCCCGCTGCCAAACCGCCGCCGCCGCCGCAGCCGCTGCCGCCACCACCGCCGCCGCCGCCGCCGCCGCCGCAGCCGCCGCCGCCGCCGCCGCCGCCGCCGCAGCCGCCGCAGCCGCCGCCGCCAAGTGTACTCTGTATTGTTTTTGACAGGGATGGTGGGGGGGCCGCATCGGGTTGGCTGCGCATGTTCCGAATTTGGAGGCAGAGTGTGTTTGAATTGTTTTTTACAAGGGATGGTGGGGGGGGGTGGCATGGACCCTGGTTGGCCCCCAGTCGCCTGGGGGAGGGGGTGTTTATTAATAGGGAACAGTGATCAAGACCCCCTCCCCGCCCGCAAGCCGTCTCGCTCACTCCCACCCGCCCTCCCAACACATACGTAGCACCCGAGCCTGGCCCGAGCCGCAGCATATTCAGCAGTCGTCTTTGGATGGGCAGCTACTGGGGGCCAATCCGCCGCCGCCGCCGCCTCCGCCGCCGCCGCCGCCGCCGCCGCCGCGCCGCCGCCGCCGCCGCCGCCGCCGCTGTCCGCCGCCGCGCGTCCGCCGCCGCCGCCACCGCCGCCGCCACCGCCGCCGCCGCCGCCTCCGCCGCCGCCGCCGCCACCGCCGCCGCCACCGCCGCAGCCGCCGCAGCCACTGCCCCCGCCGCAGCCGCCGCCGCCGCCACGTCTACTTTGCATTGTTTTTTTTGACAGGGATGGTGGGGGGAGGCCGCATCGGGTTCGCTGCGCATGTTCCGAAGTTGAAGGCAGAATGTGTGTTGTCATGTTTTTGACCAGGGATGGTGGGGGGGTGCCCGCATTGCCCCTGGTAGGCTCCCAGTCGCCTGGGGAGGGGGTGTATACTAATAGGGAAAAGTGATCAAGCTACCCACCCGCCCACAAGCCGTTTAGCTCACTCCCACCTGCCATCCCGACACATAAGTAACACCCGAGCCTGAGCATGTTCAGCGGTCGATGTTGGACGAACAGCTATTCGGAGTCAAAGCCGACCCCAGGTGCGCGACGTTTAGACGAATTGCGCCACGCGTGCCAGGGGCACCACGCGCGCCAGGCACCCCTGGGGCCCGAGCGTGCCAGGCACGCCTGGTGCGCCAGATGCGCCACATGCTCCGAGTGCGCCACGTTTGCTGCGCATTCAAGCCGCGCCAGGTGCGCCACGTTCGGGGCACGTGCAGCAGGCGCCAGGTCCGCCTCCGCACGTGACAGCACACATCGGGAAACATGTCGGCCCCCGCCATCCTTGTCGAAAACCAGTGCCCATCTTTGTGTCTGGTGCACCTTCGCACAGCAGGCCACGCGCCACCACCCCCGCCGTCCTTGTCAAAAACCATTGGACTGTGATCGCAGGATGGCCGCGAACTCTACAGATTTAGCCGCGAGGTGCATGTTGTCTTGGTTTTTGTGAGGGATTGTAGCCCTGCACACAGCAGGGAATATGCTGACACTCCCGCCGTCCTATCAAAAAAAAGCAAAATGTTCGCGGGCCTCACGAGCATGACTCAAGACTTTACCCCAGAGTTTACTTTGCATGATCTTTTGACAGGGATGGTGGGGGGCAGAATCGGGTTGGCCGCGCATGCTCCACATGTGGAGGCAACGGGCGGTTGGTTTTGCTTTTTTAACAGGGATGGGGGGGGCGGGCCCGCATGGAGTCGGCGGCATGGTTCCGGCGGGTTGGCCGCCGGCCGGGTAGGGTATGGGGGTGTATAATAATAAGGAACAGTCATAAACCATTCCCCGAAGGGGAAGAGGGTTTCTCTTGGAAGAGGAAAGAAAGATCTCGTTAGACCGCCTGTCGCCCAGAGGGCTGGCGGGATTCGTATTTGCCTTATGATGATGACTTGGAGACCCCGTAAGGGGCGTGTTAAGAAATATTCTTGACAGCGCCAGTTGCTGAACAGTCGCGGGGGCCTGCAAGGGAATCTCCAGGAAGTTCTGGGAAGACTTCTAGGGGCCACCGAAGGTCTCGTAGGACCTCCAGAGGCCTCTGCACGACGTCGGTCGTCGAGGTCGTCGTCGTGGTCGTCGTCGTCGTCGTCATCGTCGTCGTCGTCGTGGCCATGGTTGGCGTCGTTGTCGTCGTCGTCGTGGTCGTGGTCGTGGTCGTCGTCGTCCCCCCTTGGTAACGTCACGATTCGCGCCACCAGAGGCTTCTGAGAGACCTCCCCGGATCTGCGGACAGACTTTTGCGAATCTTTGGAGGTTCTGGAGGCCTCCAGACGACGTCGGTCGTCGTCGTGGACTAAAGCGTTGTCGTCATCGTGGTCGTGGCCATGGTGAAGGTGGTGGTGGTGGTGGTGGTGGGAGTCGTCGTCGTGGTCGTGGCCTTGGTCGTCGTCGTCGTCCGCGGCGACGTCACGATTCGCGCCACGGGATGTGTCCAGGGAGGGTCTGGAGGTCACTGCACGCCACCATTGACGGCGTCGTCGTCGTGGTCGTCGTCGTCGTCGTCGTCGTGGTCGTCGGCGTCGTCGTCCTCGTCGTCGTCTTCGTCTTCGTCGTCGTCGTCGTCCCCGCTGTATCGTCACGATTCGCGTCTCTGGAGCCTCCTGTGAGACCTCCTAGATACTTGTCGAGAGACCCTCGGGGATCTCCAGAGGTGGCCAGATGACTCTGGTCGCCGTTGTCGTTGTCGCTGTCGTGATCGTCGTCTTCGACGTGGATGTCGTCGTCGTCGTCGGTGGTCGTCGTCGTCGTTGTCGTCGTTGTCGTCGTCGTCATCGTCGTGGTGATTGTCTTCGCCTTCCCACGCCATTCCAAAACGTTACCGCTCCCCTCTCCTCTGCGGACGCAATCGTGACATTACGGATCCTCCCCTCCTCCAGGTAACCCCCGTTATCGCGGGGAGGTGAAAAATTACCCCAGTGCGACCCTACCTAGAAGTTGGAGCCTTCAGGAAAGCAGCATTAGTTGCTATGGTATGCTATGCGATGCCATGCTATGCTGCGCTATGCTATGCTAAGCTATGCTATGTCATGCTCCGCTGTGCTATGCTAAGCTATGCTGTGCTATGCTATGCTAAGCTGCGCTATGCTATGCAATGCTATGCTACGCTACGCTGCGCTATGCTATGCTATGCTATGCTATGCTTGGCTATGTTATGCTGAGACGCTCAGCAGGCGCCAAATGGTTACGGAAGGCACTGCTTGCGGGGGCTCTGGTCTGGCCATCGAGGCTAGCTCGGCATCTGTCGCACATTGCTTTTGATGTGCCTTTCCTTTGCTTTGCTTTTGCTTTTGCTTTGCCTTGCGTTGCTTGTGCTTTGTTTTGCTGTCGCTGCTGTTGCTTTGCCTTTGCTTTGCTGCTATGCTCTGCTATGTTGTGCTATGCTGTGCTGTGCTGCGCTATGCTATGCTGCGCTGCGCTATGCTATGCTATGCTGGGCTATGCTATGATATGCTGTGCTGCGCTATGCTACGCTGTGCTCTGCTATGCTATGCTATGCTCTGCTAAAGTTCAGCGAAGATGAAGGTAAGCTGAGCTAAGATAATCCTGAGCTAAGATGAAGCTTAGCTAAGCTATGATGACATCAGCTAAGCTAAGATGAGATAAGCAACGCTAAGCTAAGGGGACGTAACTGGGAGAACCGCGGGGCGGATGCCGGGGGAACCGCCCGGGGCGCTTTCCATTGCCTGGCCCCTTTGAGCTCTAAAGTAAGAACCTTCTAGGCAGAGCCCAGGTGGGGGAAAAAGCACGTGCTGCTCCAGGATCAGAAGACTCCCTTGGCGCCCCTGCCGTTCGCACAGGCCTGTGGGTGTGCCGGTGCGGCGCACGTGCCACGGGGCGTGCGCGCGGCGGCCGCCGTTATCATTACCGGTACCACCCTCCTCCCCCTCCTCCCCCTCCTCCCCCTCCTCCCCCTCCCCCTCCTCTCCCCGTTCAATAATATAGAAAAACAGTTTCTAACGTACATGCTTAGTGTGGTCGCTTTTCAAACTCAAGAGCGTTCCCAGGTGAACCCAGGAGGCTTCCTCAGCTACAACGCCAGCATCAGCGCTTGCGAGAAGGTCGAGCAGTGGCAGCGTGCTTTAGCGCTGCTCAGGGAGATGCGGCAGGCAAAGGTGAGGCCCACCGCCATCAGCTGCAATGCTGGGATCAGCGCGTGTGAGCAAGGCGAGCAGTGGCAGCAGGCACTTTGGCTGCTCAGCGACATGCAAGGAGCGAAGCTGGAGCCCGAGAGCATCGACTACACCCGTGGGATCAGCGCGTGCGAGAAGGCCAGCTGTCTTGTCACAGGGGTGTGGCTCCTCCCGGGCCTGAGCCAGGGATCCCCTCTGCCTGCGCCGGCCGCCGCACGACGGCTCGTCGAGAGCTCTCCGGAGAGCCCCGCGGCTCAGCTCCGGTGCTGGGGCCACGGCGCGCGAGGAGGTCGAGCAGCGGCAGGAAGGTCAGCACATGCGAGACGGGCGGGCGGCTGCAGCGGACAGGGACGAGCTCTTCGGAGATCACCCCGAATGCCGGGATCACAGCGCGCCAGGATCGGGAGGGCCAAAAAAACAGACACACATAAGCTTCGAGATTCCCTGGAACAGGTCGGACAACATCTGGGAAGTGGAAGAGGAAGACGACACAGTTCCAGAACGTAGATACGGACAGATAGTCGGAGATTCCTGGGACTTGTGCCTGTTTGCTTGTGTGTCCCTGGGCGCCCTCCGAGGAGGTCGAGCAGCGACAGCGGCCCGGCACGCGAGCGAACAAAAGCAAGAAGCGGGCGGCGGCACGCGCGCGAACAAAAACAAGAGGCTTGGCATCGCTCGGACATGTGTATTTTTCCTTCGGCGAGCCCTCCTCCCTCCTGCCTTCTCCTTTTCCTCCTCCCTCCTCCTCCTCCTCCTCCTCCTCCGCCTCCTCCTTCTCTTCCCTCCGCTCCTCCCCCCTCCCTCCTATCCTCCTCCTCCTATCCTATCCTCCTCCTTTCCCTCCCTCCCTCTCCTCCTCCCTCCTCCCTCCTCCCTCCTCCCTCCTCCCTCCTCCCTCCCTCCCTCCCTCCCCTCCTCCTCCTCCTCCTCCTCCTCCTCCACCTCCTCCTCCTTCTCCTCCTCCTCATCCTCCTCATCCTCCTCCTCCTTCTCCCCTTCCGCCTCCCCCTCCTCCGCCTCTTCCTCCTCTTCCTCATCCTCCTCCTCCCCCTCCTCCATTCCTTTCCTCATAACTAATCTCTCCCTGTCGCACCCCGAGTCCGGTCGAAAGGGCAGGCCGGGCGTTTCGCCTGAGATTTCTTCACCACTCATGACCCTTAAGCTTACAAGTTGGCAACAGCTTCACGTATGGAGGGCGGGTGGTTTTCAAAATGTGGCTGTCGCCTTGGCGCCGCCACATTCGTTTTAAACGTTTGCAGGAGCTTCACGGACGGAGGGCGAGCCGTATTCAATATGTGGTTCTCGCCTTAACACCGTGCGCATTCGTTATAACAACATGCAGGATAATCACGGATCGACAGTGGACCGTTTTCAATATATGGTTCTCGCCCTAGCGCCGCGCACATTCGTTACAACAAATTGCAGGAGCTTCACGGATTGAGGGCTGTTCGGATTGAAGGCGCTCGAGAGCCACATTATGTGGCTCTCGCCTTAGCGCCGCGCACATTACTTGCTGAAAATTGCAAGCTGCTCACGGATTCTCCTGGTGAACGTATCAAAACATGTGTTTTGGAAAGACTAAGCATAATGAGGTTGCAACAGGTACGTCGGTTCGCGGTGATGAAGTCCCAGCTATGGCGTTCTGGCACGGTTCAAAATCCTCAAGGCGCGACAATCAAGTTGGTCCGTGGCGTTGGAGTCCCGAGTCTGATGCTCTGACATGCTTCAGCGTTTTAAGCGGTTGTCTTCCAACGAGACAGTTCCGCCAGTGGAAATGAACCCTTTTATGGGATTATGCAAAAAAAAGGAGCTTGGAGGGAGGGTGTCTTCCGACATCGTTGATGACTCTTGGGTTTACACTGGTCTTCCTCCTCCTTTTCCTCATCCTCCTCCTCCCCCTCCTCCCCCTCCTCATCCTCCTCCTTCGAATAGGAAAACGGGCGCGCACCCGCCGCCGTTCTGGCTCTCAGTGCGCGCAAGTCAGTACACTGTCGAAGAGAAAAGAGCCGTTGCTCTACACATGCTATTGCCCCCACGACTTCTCTCTTTCACCATTGCCATCTGCAATGTTACTTGGAAGCGGAGCTGGGAGCAATCCCAGCTCGCGACTCACGGAGCTGCGCAAAGTGCGATGTGGATTCACATCCGCACTTTCCGTTCCCCGAACAGCGTGTGCTTATTGTTGTTTCGCATGCCGGCTGGCAATTCGCTTTGGACGCTCACAGGCTACGATGCGGCAAACGTTGGACCGTGTGAAACGTGCGAGAGCCCTTCGGCGCAGGGCATCAGCAGTTGCAGGCTACATCACGATGCGGGGCGATTCGCCCACGGGAACGCCACGACGTTCCCTGACCCATCGCACCCCGCAGGCACTGGCCGCAGCTTCGCGTCGACGTCGTCGTCCTCGAAGCCAAGGCCGCGCAGGCCGTCCACCGCATGGGTCTCTGATCGGATACCGCCTCGCCGTCGTAGTTCATCCTCCGGCCAGTTCCCAATCAGAGCCTCCAGGGGCTTGTCGCGTGTATACTTGTGGCCGTTCGCCGAAAGGACGCCTGTTCGCTCAGTCGGATCCAGCCCGCTGAATCAGCACTCCTCGCAGCTCGGTCTCGAGACACTCCTGCTCGATCTCTTCTTCGGTGTTGCGAACTCTCTTGAACGCCCACTGCAGTTTGTGGTATAGTCCGGACGCCACCATGCTCTCACCCTCCTTGCGCGTGAGCTGGTAAATATATTGCACCAGGATCTTCATCACATCAGTCGGCGCATGGCTTCCGAGCTTCTCGTTGAGAAATTCCACCAGCAGCTGTGCGCCATCTTCTTGACTGAGGGTCGTTGAGCCGAACGCTAGTGCATGTCTCTTCTGGGCGGTGCCGTCCGCCATCACGCCGATGAGGCGTGTTCCGCACAGTTGTCTCTCGTCTTTTCTTCGTGCCTGACACGTAGATTCTCACATTATTTGCGTAGTCGTCGATAGACTCCAGCCTCCCGTTCCATCGCGGTATGATACCGCGATCATCTCGCTGGGTCATCCCAAGGCCGCGCTCGAACCACACTATTTGGAACAAGCTCCTCTATACCAGTATACTAGTATCGGGGATACTGTCGGGTTTATCGTCGTAGGCGCTCCTTATCAGTGCCGTTGTCTTTTTCCACGCGTCCAGCGTGACGAGCACTATCAAGATACGAGTCCACATGAAACGGGCGCCCCCCGCGCCTGGAATATGAAGAGGGGCGCCTCCCGCGCCGAACCCCTCCCCCCCCTCTTCCTCCCTCCCTACCTCTTCCCTCCGGACTGGCCCCCCCCCGCAGGCCGGCCCCGAGCGGCCGACGGGGAGCGTCCGCCTGCCCGCGGGCAGCCTGGACGGGCAGCCGGCGCTCCTGGAGGCTAGGAGGGCGGAGGTCGGACGGGGCGGGGCCGTGGCGAAGCGTGGCAGTGGCGAAGCGGTGGCGAGTAGGGAGGAGGGAGGAGGGAGGAGGAGGACGGAGGAGGAGACGGAGGAGGAGGAGGAGGAGGAGGAGGAGGAGGAGGAGGAGGAGGGAGGAGGGAGGAGGAGGAGGAAGAAGTAGGAGACGGAGGAGGAGGAGGAGGAGAGGAGGGAGGACGGAGGAGGAGCGGAGGCGGAGGAGGAGGAGAGGAGGAGAGGAGAGGGGAAGGAGGAGGAGGAGGAGGAGGAGGAGGAGGAGGAGGAGGAGGAGGAGGAGGAGGAGGAGGAGGAGGAGGAGGAGGAGGAGGAGGACGGGGAGGAGGAGGAGGAGGAGGAGGAGAAGAAGGCAGTGGCGTCCTGGTTCGCCTATAGGTTCGCCTATAGGCCTATGTATAGGCCTACCAAACAATGTTATAAGAACCTCTTATGGCTTCCACGAGATGTTCCTGGAACATTTCTGGCTGGGCTTGTCGTGGTAAAGCACATCGAGTGCATGTTCTAAGAACATTGCTTTCGTTCTTGGAACATTTTGGGATTCTAAGAACATGTCGTGGTATGCCTATAGGAATGCCGGGACGGTCGGCCCCTGCTCAAGATATATCCGTTCCAGAGCGTTCCAGATCGTTGTTAGAGCGTGCCGGAACGCTCTGAGAAGGCCGCGGCGCCCGAGACATTCTCCAGAGCCGCCGGATCTTAGAGATTCTGGATCTATCCGCACCCGAATTTATCCTCGTCCTGGCTTAGTCTTGGGGGGGGGCGGCGGGTCCCAGGGAGCGGGCCCCAGGGAGCGGAGCAGGGCACGCTGTTCGAGGCAAAGTTGGTCTTAGAGTGTGGGAGCGGGGCAGGGCCTTTTTGTTCTGCCGTTTTCGAGGCAAAGCTGGTTCTGGAGTGTGGGAGCGGGACGGGGCCTTTTTTAAATTTCCGCCGTTTTCAAGACAAAATTGTTTCTGGAGTGTGGAAGCGGGTCAGGGCCTTTCTTTTAGTTGTTTTCGAAGCGAAACTGGTTTTGGAGAGTGGGAGCGAAACCAGTTCTGGGGTGTGGAAACGGTAGGGCACTGGAGATCGGGGAAACTCGCTCCGGTATTGGAACTGGGACCAGAACGAGATCGGCCGGCGACGGAATTGGGAAGCAAAAAAAATACGGCGCCGGAACCTGGAAAACAAGCACAAGATGTGAGTTGTGAGAAAAAAACGCCTTGTCGCTTCCAGGGTTTAGTTGCCTCGGCACGCCCGTTTTGAAACGCAATACGTCCCGTGTTCAAGACGTCCGTGTCAATACGTTGCGTGTTGGTTCCACGTATTGGACCACGTTTTGACGAGTGTATCGCGTCGGACCTACGTTTTCAGCCTACGTGTTGAGCTCCGTATCAATACGATACGTGCTGCGTGTTGCGTATCGGGGCAGCTAAGTTCCAGGGCCAGCGCTGGGCCAGCGGCGGTTGGCTGGATGGCAGACTCTGGGTGGCGAGCGGGCAGTCTGGGGAGGCAGGCGGAGCTCCAGGGTGAGGAGAGGAGGAGGAGGAGGAGG